CTAGAAAACTGGTAATCATCTACTGAATTGTCTAAAAAAACAGCATTTCCCAGTTACACAGTGTAATATTTATGACTTATGACTAGTGGTAATACTTTCTCAAGACAGATGATCAGACTGAACATAAAACAAATCAGGCAACAAAAGTTTAGGAGGGTATCATGAAAGTCCACAGTTTTGAGAGTCTTGTAACTTTCTGATGCAATCACTTTGGGGAATGAAGTTTTTCATTTTTTCATTGCTTAGTTCCTTCTAGATGTTCGTAATCCTTCTAGCTTCATATCTACATTTGAAGAACACATGTCAGCATAATGTTTTGTATGATTGACAGAGGTGTCTGCTGATGAAAAGGTATGGTAATACAGAATAAGGGGTAGATTTAAGAGGGTACAAGTAACTCAGCAAATGTTGAGGGCCAACAATAAATGCTTCACTATACAAGTTGATGATAGCAATCTGATATATTCACAGAGGTAAAACATTTTTCATTGAAGGCAATTTTTTATGCTACGTTGGTTTGAATAATCTGATTTTTCTAAACAAGTGGCATGTTAATAAATGTTTAATAAAATACCACAGAAATTATAAGCAGTGTTTGAGTACCCTTTCTTAGGAGTAAGGTTTTGAAATTTTTCTCCTAAGTTTTGTATTCTGTTCTCATCTTGTCATTCTGAGACAGCTTGCAGAAACAGCTATAATTTATTGTGCTCTAAAGAAAACAGCTTACCCAGATGAAGACATATTAGGATCAGCTGGGTTTAATAGTTCAATTTGAGTTTGTATTGTGACAGTTAGTTACCCTTTTGTTTTTGTAGGAAAACCCAAGTCTGCCCTGGCCCATATGGCATGATTTTCAGCATTTCTGTGGCAGCTGTCTCCCAGTGCTGAGGACTTGAGTCAGATCACCTCAGGCATGGAGCAATTCAGCCCTGCTCTGTTCACTTCTGACAAGGAGACTGGAAGCATTATAAAAGGTGCTTCTCCCCAACCTGCATGGATACTTTACACTTCCAGAAAAACAATTCTGTGTGATAAAAACAAAAGTAAGTACCCTTCCTTCCAGCTCCAAATATTGTTCATAGCTGTTTATTTAATAGCAAAGTTTTCCAAACAAAGCCTTTCCCTAGCCTGTCCCCCAGCATACATCCCTCCAGGGAGCTGAAAAGCAATGACAACTGGGCAGTCTCCCTGAAGATGCCAGTAGCCACTGCACTCCTAAATGCCCTCCACAAAGGCAGTATGGGCATGCCACTGCTCCTCCAGGCAAGAGCCACTGCTGAAGTTAGCTACAGCCTCCAAGGAAAATGATGAACAGTTGCATTTTATTTTTATACCCTGAGCTTTCAATCTTTATACTGATAAGGGAACAGCTGCCTCTAATCTCTCTTCTAAATCCCAGGCCTGGTATGGCAACCTCTTGGGCATCATGAGGATGCTATCCTGAACTGGCCAATGAGACTCAAATGCCATCTATTATCCTTATGGCAACTATGTGTGGCATTAGTTGTGGGGCCTTTTTGCTGCCTGTTTAATTTTCACAGTAGCAGTTGGGTCTCAGGAGTCAGCGTCACTTCTATTCCTAAATGCTAAGATTCGCTCACCAGCAGCACGTGGAAAGTTGCTTGGGCCTCCTTTGACATTAAAGGTTTCATTTCCAGAGACTGTCACACAATGATGCAAACTTCCAGGGAAATTTAAGCACAGATGATTAATGCATAGTTAGGTAACCTGTGGACCAGCTGAGCTGCTATTCCTCCAGAAAGGCTATGTTGTAATATCTCATTTAGATAAGAGCAGTGAGACACTATGGCCTTGGAAGTGCCATGGTTTGACTTCACCATTGCCATAAGAAATGTGAAGGAGAGATTTCTCAGCAGGGTAGGCAAAATTCAGCTCTTCCCACTATGGATGAGACTTGGCAAAGGCTGCAAGGTGAACCTATGAGAAGGTGGTCTGCTCTGCCTATATGTAGATCTGGTCCTGCAAGAAAATAGTCTCCACACACATCAGCCTCTTAGTATATTTTTGCCTCTTGGAAAGTAAAGAGGGGACCCGCATTTCAAATTACCATAAGAATAGATCTGGAAACAGATCTATCATGTGTGGAAATTCTATCAATTGGGGAAAATCTAAACATAGTGAAAGAAAAATTATTTCCATCTTCCCTGAGATTGGTAGTTAAGTATGAAAAGGCATTCCTTCTTCCTTTCGCTAACTTTTACTAAAAGTGAGGAATTCCAAAAACTTGCCCACCACTTTGTTCTGTATGGGTCAGTGGAGGCAATACTGAGTAAACCCAACTCCTTTGGTGGATGAATCAAGGCCTGGAAAAGAGATGAGAAGTATAGAGCAAGTGAGGTACAGCAGACTGGGAAGAGGTAATTTTCTCTTTTTGTCACAAAGCGAGTTTTATAAAGGGCTCCGCAATAGGTGCTTGTAGCCAGATAAGATTCAATACATAGTCTTTCTGATGGTGATGAATTACATTGGTCAGAAGAGATTCTTTTCAATGTATGCAATACAGAAGTCTTGGAAGGAATATTTTCTGTTAAAGTGACTGGAGTAGCACTAAAGGTACAAGCTGACAGCATGTCTTCAGAGCTAGTGGTTTATTCACTTAATATTCCTCTTCCAGGGAGGCTGGTGTGTTAAACAAAGACCAGGAATTCTTCCTACTCCTGGCTGTGGGCTGTGGTTTGCTCAAACACAGAGAGATCATTTTCATGTGCCCCCTTGCCCAGCCTTCACCCCTCAGAGAATACAGTACGTTAAAATGTGAGATATCCTGGTGATAGGAAGAAGAGAGATTGAGAAGAGAGATTCATGCTTAAAAACTGAATTCTCCTGACTTAGATTCACCAGCCTTCTGGTCTGAGTCTACAACCAGAACTGCTGAACACAAGCAGTTCATTTGAAGATGGTTCTCTTATATAAACAAATATAAGCACAGATGTATGCAGGGAGAGATCTACAAACGTTTGCAATTCACTGGAGTGACAGAGGACATAATTCAAATGATATGAGGGATGTTGAAATTATTTTGCAGAGAAAAGTGCAATAACTTCCGCCTCATAAAATTCCTACATATTTCACATGACCTTAATTGTTGTTTAGTAACTCACAATATGAATACTTTTAAGAAGTTGTTAAAAGGTTCTTTATCTCCTTTATCAGACTAGGTAACAGAAATTAAAGCAGCTTCCATCCCATGTACAAGCAGGGCATCAGTCCGTTCCTAGCAGCATAACCTTGAGATGCCTGGTTTTCCTCAGGGCCATGCTCCGGTGATTCATCCACATTGTTCGGTCCATCCTACCTCCCTTCTCTCCCAGAGTCATTAGCCATTCTGCTCTATTGCAGGCACAAAGGAACTTTCCACTCACCTACACTTAACCTAAAAAAAAGCCAGGAGAGCCTTTGGGCCATGTATTTTCTGTGCTGAACATACTGATTTGTATAAATATATATTAGTTTTATTTCCTCTGCCAGCAGACTGTGCTGCCAAAAGTTTTTACTATTAACTGTGCTTGTACTAGGAGTGGTTCTGCTCACCTGTGGTAACCCAAACACCTCTTGCTTTCCAGGATGGGAAAGGATACAGGGGAGAGCAACTAAAGAAGAAGCGTCTCAGGCCCCTTCCACTAAATGAAGGCTGGATTAAAAGGGCAAATGCCCAACCTGCTGAATTGGAGAGAGAAAATTAGTGAAGTTTTCCGTCCATCACCCTGTGATGAGTTCTGTAAGGGAAAAGGTTTCAGTGCCTGCTGGTAGAGTTCTGGGGCTTCTGTCTCATCTTGACCCTCCTTTATCAGTGTATTCAGATTGTTTTTCTTTAGACTTAAACAGTGAGGAAAGGTGAGAAGGGTAGATGGAGAGGCAAAAAAGAAGAGAGGCAAAAAAATATTGACTTTTATTATTCTTAATCATGGGCTTTGTCTATTATTCTAGAATCACCTTAGGATTAAGTCTTTTTAAAGATATGAAGAATATCTACCTCAGACATTGCCGCGGTCCGAGTGGGGGAGGGGAATGGGGCCGCGACACGGCACGGATCCCAGACACAAAGGTGGGGTGCAGGTAGAATCTTTAATCCAGCGTGCACACGGGGTTTTTTATCCGGAGGGAAAGGGCCAGAACATAGGGTGGAGCAGGAGACAGACAGACGGGGGGACAAACCAGGATTGAGCCGTGGGCAAAAAA